TGGCTCCAGGACCCTGGTGAGGTGAAGCCCTACCTGTTCTGTGATGAGGAGATTCCCGTGAAGTCAGAGGAGGTGGTCAGTCACATGTGGCTGGCTGCCACGCCTTCCTTCTGTGTCGAGCACGCTTACTCCTCAGCCTCCAAGTCCTGTGTTCAAAGTGAGGCCGCATTTATTTAATACAATCCCTTTGCTTTGAGTCTGTTTACCCATTGTTCCCTCTTGGCATTTATTTGCATAATAAACAATTACATTAACTACTCCTTGGGAGATTCCCATTTCATACTCAAAATATTTACATTTCAGATCTGGGTACACCCAGAAAGCAGCCCAGGAAGACCCCGCTGGTACCTCGGAGCCTTGAGCCACCTGTTCTTGAGCTGTCCCCGCAGGCTAAAGCCCAGCTGGAGGACCTGATGATGCTTGGAGACCTGCTGGAGGTGTCCCTGGATGAGACCCAGCACATCTGGAGAATCCTGCAGGCCACTCACCCACCCTCTGAGGAGAGATTCCTGCAGGTCATGGAGGTAGGAAGTTCAGCCATTATGCAACCTGATTGCACAGCTGGATAAGGACTTAATGCTGAGATTAATCATTTTAGCTTGTTCTGATGGTGTAATTACACACAATGTATGCAGTAAATGCAGAATAAGAAATGGCAGTGATCGCTCTCATTTGCTCTTTTTTTCCCCCCTCCCCCTTCCTTTCTTTCCAGCCTGACGACTCTCTGATTGAAAAGCCTCTGAAGATCAAGCTCAAAGATTCCGAGAAGAAGCGGAAACGCAAATTGGAAAGAGCCGAGCACCACCACATGCTGATGGCTGCTGCAGCTGCCAGTGGAACTTCGGCGATGGGAGATATCCGACCGCCCAAGTCCAAAGACTTAAAGAGGGTCGGTCTGGAGCTCGGCCTTGGGGGTAAACCCAAAAAGAAAAAACTTAAAATCAACCTGGAAAAGAATCGGGAAATGAAGCAACTGGCCAAACGGTTGGCCAAAGAGGAGAAGGAGAGAAAGAGGAAAGAGAAAGCGGCCGCAAAGGCAGAGGCCATCAGGGAGGGGATGGAGAAGAGGAAGGAGAAGAAGATTCTTGACATTCCCTCGAAGTATGATTGGTCGGGGGCAGAAGACTCCAATGATGAGAATGCAGTGTGTGCAGCCAAAAACTGCCAGAGGCCGTGTAAAGATAAGGTGAGCACACCTGTCATTATCCATAAAAAACGAACTAACATTTCAATTCAGTTTCATTTATACAGTGCCAAATAACAACAACAACAATCGCTTCAAGGCACTTGCGACCGAGTTTCACCATTGCAGATCCAGATGTGTGTTGAAAGGGGTACAAGGGGGAAATCATAGATGTTTGATGGACACAATCTTAACATTAAGATTGTGTCCATCAAACTTAATGATGTCAGTGCGCCCCAGGGTGGCTGTGACTACAATGTAGCTTGCCATTCACACACTGCCATCACCAGAATCAGAAAGGGTTTTATTGCCAAATGTTGAGCAGGTTTACAACATTAGGAAATTGCTGCGGTGAATGGGTGTGTGAATGGGTGGATGACAGGTTGTATAAAGCGCTTTGGGGTCCTTAGGGACTAGTAAAAGCGCTATACAAATACAGGCCATTTACCATTTTTACCATTATATAATATGTTGAAAAATTGTTGAATATTCTTAATCTTATTTTGTGTCATTACTTTATTGTGATCCGTCGTGGTCTCAGAGGTTATTCCCTGCTCACCTGGTTTAAATGTGGACTCAAACCTGGGGAGCAAGGAAACTAAACTGATCTCACATGATTCAAGGTAGTAGACCACATCTACGTCCTTGAAATAGGACTGAAATCTAGTTTATTATGAAGAATTTTATGTCTACAAATACATTTTGTTAGTACCTGGTTGGATGCACCTCAGCTCTCAATATTGTTGAATCTTGGCATAGATTCAACAAGGTGCTGGAAACATTCTTCAGAGATTTTGGTCCATATTGATCTGACAGCATCAAAGAGTGGCTGCAGATTTGTCAGCTGTACATCCATGGTGTATATCTCCCGTTCCACCATGCACTAAATGGGTTCTAGAGGACTGAGATCTGGTGACTGGTGGAGTCCTTGTCATGTTCAAGATTCTAGTTTGCGATGATTTGAGCGTTGTGACGTAATCCTGCTGGAAGTAACCATCTACAAAGCTATGTACAAAGTGTGTATACGGTGGTCATTAAGTGGCATGGTCAGGACATGGTTTTATTTACTGTTGCCTTCCTTTCAGCTTGAAGTAGTCTGCCCATTCTCCTCTAACTTCTGGCATCGACAAAGCATTTTCTCCCAGTGAACTTCTGCTCACTAGATATTCACCCTAGAGATGGTTGTGTGGGGGTAAATCCCAGATCAGTAGTCTCTGAAGTACTCAGCCTAGCCCATCAACAACCATGTCACATTCAAAGTCACCTAAATCACCTTTTCCTCCTTGTTCTAATGCTCAAGTTGAACTGCATCAGGTCATGTTGACGTTGTCTACACGCCTAAATGCAGTTGATTTGCTGCCATATGATTAGCTGTACAGCAAGCACGAGCAGAGCTTTCAAAGTCTTGATGTGGATTTTGTCAGGGCTCTGTATCTGCTGATGTTCTGCACTGTGAAATTCCCTTAAGCCCACATTGACTGCACGAAATCAAACACACTGCGGTGTTAAACTGTAGGCCTCCATGATTGTGTCGTGATGTTCACATGATGTCAGACGGAACATCAGTCTGCATACAGAGCCGCTCGACAGTTTGATGATTCCATCTGAGGAGACTGGGAAATACTGTGGTGTCATCCACTGAATGTGTGTTTGTTTTATTAAACCAGAGTGGATAACAAACATTTCTCACAATGAACATCGGGTACCTTTTTATTGAATAGTAACAGCTGGTAACCGCACTGGAACACCTCAAAGAGAGTTAGACATAACATATTAACAAGGCCACCTGATGTCGTCTTGATCAGAAACGCTACTGCAGACTGCACAAAGTTAACCAGTGGCTAGTCTTCTTCTCTCTTGAGTCTGCGCTGCCAATCAAATCTAAGGAATCATTAGCCCTACAGTTCTGTCCTTTGATTCACCGATGATTTATCCAGGGCATACTCGTGACTGTAGCCCAAAACGATGGCATAGTGCTGTGTTAGTCGCTACTTTGAAAGGAAGGTTACCTTTAAAAGAAAATGATAATAATTTACTTCAAATTTTTTAGCTTCACGTTACAGCAAAAACCACTTTTTTCTAGCTGCGCTGGTAAATACATTTGTTTTTTTGTTATTTCTAATGTTTTGAAAATCAACAATTGAAGTGTGTCCAAGATGATCTACTCTGTTGTAGTCATGTATTCCAGTAAATAACATCAAACATTAGTTGAACAGTGACTGACTTGTAGCTGTGAAACAGACTTCTTTAATTGCTAATGCAGCATGTTCATTAAAATTCTTGAATTAAAGCTGCAGCTTCTTTTCAAATTTGTTGTTGTGGTGAAAAAAGCAAGTTTGTTTCACTGTCCACACTGACGTGATTGAGTGCTGTTAAATGTTATCTTTGAATTTAGTGTCTTGCTTGACAAAGTCATTGTCTCACTCACTCACATTTCTGAATTCATCACGTGGGTTTTTTGTTCTTTTCTCTCCTTTTTCCCAGGTCGACTGGGTTCAGTGTGATGGCGGCTGTGACGAGTGGTTCCACCAGGTCTGTGTGGGTGTGTCATGCGAGATGGCCGAGAATGAGGACTACATCTGCATGGACTGCTCCCGGAAGGCCGCCGGTGGAGGAATGACCGTCGAGGAGGTGTCGGAGGAGAGCGTCGTTGTGCTGACAACGTCAATGTGCGGCAGCAGCGTGCAGAGTGTGCCATCGTCATCGGTGATTGCCTCCTGGTCATCGGCTTCTCATCATCAGCAACAGCAGGATTCTCAGCAGGGCAGTTAGCACTTAAAAAAACATGGGCCAATGACAGAGAACTTCACAATATGCCCAGTATCCAGGCTAGTTTTTTAAACCTCAAGACAAGTTAACAGTTCCTGTAACTGTTGGGAGTGTCAAGCACAAGAAAAACGCTCCTGTTTCCGAGTGCTGAAATCTGCAAACAGACTTTACATGTGTCAGCCACAACATTAAAAACCAAAGGCGAGTAAAGTGAATGACCTCGATCATCTCGTTGCAGTGCGTCACTCAGCCGGGAAGCCATTGGTATCGGTATTCATGTGGGTGATACTGTTAACATCCACCCAAATGTGGCTAATTTGCTCCTGTATGACAGAGGTCCTGTTCACAAACGGCTCGTCATTACAATCGAGGTGTTGAAATGGCCTCCCCACATGTCAGTCCATCCACAGGATGCACCAGAATAAGCCCGATCGCTGCATCTGCTGCAATATTTTGGCGCCCGCAACCGGAAGACACCCTCTGAGGTCCTGTGACCTTGCTTCAAAGGGCCAGACCTGTTTTGATGTCACAAAATATTAGGCAGATGGATTTAATGTTGTGGCCTCTCTGTATAATCCCCCTACAGCAGTTTAGGTCTAGAAAAACCTGCCGTCTTCATCCTGGTCCTCAGTTCAGCAGTAACAAGGCATTAATAACTTACCTGCAGTCAAACACTCACTTATTCCAGCTGTTGTATTCAGTGGCAAACAGACAAATTTGTTCCCAGCTCCAGGACATTAGTTCCCCTTCTGTCCCTCTTGCCAGGCCCTTGAGACAGTAACATCTCAATAAGTAGGTCTTGACTAGGAAAAACAAATGGTTGTATTGTAGTGGAATTATTTATAATGTACATAGCTTTTAAGGCAGTTAAACCAATGGATTGTGGCTTTTTGTTTTGTTTTGTTTCTCACCTTTAATAAATTCTTCCTAGTCAAATAAGTACAAATTGCAATGTTGTTTTTTTTCTCTCCATGTGACGAAGCACACAAACGACAACCATCTCCTCTTCTAAACTTCTTGTTTGTGAAGGCGGGGGGGAGTGACCTCAAGATGTGTCACTGAGTGGTTGATTGATTTCTTTTCAAACTGGTTTAAACCTCACATCAGCTATGTGACATTCATTTTCAAAGCAGGGCCTCGATTATCACGGTGAAAAATTAACTGGTCAAGCTTATACGTATCACTACCTGTACGCAGGTCTGTTGGGCGAGTAGAGGATTATGGCAAGGGTGGGGGTTGTGCTGATGTCCACTCCTGACTCAGACAGGTCAGATCCAGTGTGAACTGACCCCGTCTGCTTTTGGCAACCGTCTGAGTGAGGCACCTCTATCAGACAGAAAGAAAGGGCAACCACGGTGGGCTGCAGGATACTCAAAGAATTACATAACTTTTGTTTTGTTATGCAGCCACATCTTCCACCACCTGCTGTATGTTGTGTCTTCAGACTCATCCACTGAGAAGACTTTTTGACCAAAATGCTAAACATAGATGAAAGGAGAAACAATGGTCTATCTGCTATATAGCAAAACATGTATTTCTTTCAGACCTTAGCACCGCATTTGTGGAAAACCTTCCATCAACTAGTTTGACTTTTAGAATGCATCTGTTGATGTAAACAAACATGTATATTTGTTTCTTTAGACCTATGTAGCCAAAGTGCATTGCAACAAGAACATGAGTTATGGCTGACAGGTCAAATGTCATCCCCCTGGACTATTACATTGCATCTTATTTTAACAGTACAGACATGGTGGATGTTGTACTTTGCTTGGAAGGGACCCCATGCAGGGAAAGAGTGGAGGCTGGCCTTGGTTTAGCATTACAAAACCCCACCTCTCTGTCCAGCCACGTTAAATAGTCAAACCTTGGCCCCAGTCAAACTGAAACCTACAGATTCAGCTTCAAGCTCGTCACAAGAGTGACACAACTATGAAAGGTAAGTGCACATATATTTGAACTTGGTGCGCTCTACAGCTGGAACAGTTTGGTGTGCCGACACATCGGCTTCCAATTCAGGCGATATGGGTGTCAGCCATCAAGTTTCCATGGCCTACTGCAATCCTCGTGTACATCTGTTGTACAGGAGACTCTGTCAACGCCGGCCTCGCCAATTACACCAGCCATGCCAGTGACTTGCCACCCTCTGAAGTGAAGATGGAGGAGAGGGGTCAGTGGAGCAATAAGCTGGAGTTCGTTCTGTCAGTCGCCGGCTCCATCATCGGCCTGGGCAACATGTGGCGGTTCCCTTATCTGTGCTACAAGAACGGGGGAGGTGAGTGGGAAGATGAGCTAAGTAGAGAAGATAAAGAGTGCTCCTCTGCAGTTTTCCATCAACTAATTCATGCATGTCACTAATTTGTACAAAAGGTATGTTAAGCAAACACCTGAAGATCTTAGTATTATTCTGAAATTGATCAGATTCTGAAATTGATCTCTGTTCACTAATGGACTTAATGAGAGACAAAACTTGTTATCGCGAGTTGCAGACTTCATTCGAAGGCAAAATTCATCCTTAAATTGATTTGATGATAGAAGTAAAAACGGGTGCATTCAAAGTTTCTGAAAATCTGTTTGGAAAAACAGCTCTTCCTTCATTGGCTGCATGTTATGCTTGTTTGACTGCTAAATTAGATACCCATTTCTCTCTCTCTCTCGCCCTCCATGGGGTGGCGGGGTCAGAGTTCGGGAATGAGCGGGGTCAGACAGCTGTTGTTGCTCCTCGCTCACAGCAGCTGTTTCTGCAGAGAGGCAGAAAACTTGAACAAGCCACATGCCCTCGGCCTCTCTGCGGGCTTTCATGGTTTTATGTGGTCTCCTTTCCTTTTTATTTTTTTTGTACTTTATTCCAAATCAGATTCAATATTAAAGGTGCAGACAGTAGAAATACATTGCATTTGAACAGAGTATACCTTCAGTATAAACTCTAACCCTTAATCATTTGCTCTTTTTCAACTCAGGTGCATTCCTCATCCCTTACCTGATCTTCCTGTTTACTTGTGGTGTTCCCGTCTTCCTCCTGGAGGTAGCACTAGGCCAGTACACCAGTGAGGGAGGCATTACCTGCTGGAGAAAGATCAGTCCTTTGTTTGAAGGTAAGAAGGATTCAGGTAAATTTGGTTTTATCTGTATAGTGCCGTATCAGAATAGGAATCTCCTGAAGGCACGTTGTATTGTAAAGTAAAGAACTGCCAGTGTTAGCGAGAGACAACCCCCACTGATGCACAAACCTTCTATAAGAAAGCACTTGGTGATTGTGGGGAAGAAGAACTTCCTTTCAGTAGAACCAGGTTCAGGGAGGAGCATAAGAAGAGAAAAGAGACGTACATTCTTAGATTTTGACACAGAAGAGAGTAATCTGGAAAAAATAGCTTCATAGGGACTGAAAATGAAAATTGTCAGCGAATCACAGGAAGTCCCCCAGCAGCCTGAGCCTACAACGGCATACCTAATAGATGTTTGAGGGTCACCTGATCCAGCCCTAAGTATAATATAAGCTTCATCAAAGAAAGTTTTAAGCCTAATCTTAAAAGTAGAGAGGGTGTCTGCTTCCTGAACCCTGAGACTCTGTCTCCCATTCTATTTTTAGAAACTCTACAAATCACAAGTAAGCCTTCAGTCCAAACCAGCATGCTTTACTGGGATAATATGGGACTATGAGGTCTTTATGATATGATGGTGTCTGATCTTTCATGACTTTGTACGTGAAAAAGAAGGATTATAAATTCAGTCTCAAATTTAAGCGGGCGGTCTCTCTTCCTCCTCTCCATTATTATTCTCACTGGTGTTTTGGAAGACCAACATCAGCCCTAAGCATACATATTTTTTCATATTCAGAATATACTAATTATAAAGGTGAATATTGTTACGTATATTTAAATATCATTTGTGCAGGTCTTGGCTATGGCACCCAAGTGATAGTGACTCTGCTGAACTTCTATTACATCATCGTTCTGGCTTGGGGGATTTTCTATCTGTCTTTCTCCTTCTCTTGGGACCTACCTTGGTCTTCCTGCAACAATACGTGGAATACAGGTAACACAACAAAGCTTCGTGAATGTTTCCTCTTAGAATGTATTTTTCCCCTTCTTATAGTGCAATGGTAAATAATTTCTATGTGGTTTTTCCCCTACAGAAAACTGTGTGGAGTTTCAGAGGAGAAACACCTCAACTGACCAAATGATCAACCTGAACACCACCTCTCCTGTCATTGAGTTCTGGGAGTGAGTTGTCGCACCCTCGATGAAAAGCAGATAGTGACTTAATGATTTAGATGGTTTGTCACTGGTGTGTTTTTTCCCCCCGTTTCAATAGGAGAAGAGCACTAAGGATTTCCCCAGGTATTGACCAAATGGGCTCGCTGAATGGGGACCTGGCCCTGTGTCTGTTCATCGCCTGGGTCATGTGCTACTTCTGCATCTGGAAGGGGGTGAAATCCACAGGAAAGGTGGGTGAGAGGGGGACTCAGAGGCAGCTCTGGGGTACGTGATGGATGTCATGTGGTGATTATTTTGGCATGTTTCCTGTTTGCACATATGCGTGTGTCGATATAGGTGGTCTACTTCACTGCGACCTTCCCCTACGTGATGCTGATTGTGCTGTTGATCAGAGGACTCACCCTTCCTGGCGCTGGAATCGGCATCCAGTTCTACCTTTACCCTGATTTGGGGCGACTGGCAGATCCACAGGTATGAAGATCATTTGCACAAAACTCACTTAGACCAGTCACAAAATTTTCAAAGAGTGACGTGAACCAAGAGCAGGTACCCCATGGTTCTCGGTTGGGGGGAAACTTGTTTCTGCTGGGTCCATCTGCTCTCCATGAAAGAGACAGGGACCGCGGGGATTAAATGCAAGGTCAAGACACCACTGGGACTGTAAACACAAGATCTACCAGGACTGAGCTGAAAGCAGACACAAAATCAGGCTTTCCCCCCTTTTTATGGAACAAGACCTTTTAAAGTGGCTTTTTAAGTGACCAAAAGAATCTTTAACTAAAATGTATGGGAGAAGTAGGATTTCTACAAGAATCTAGCTTATTTTGGGGCAAATAAGCAAACTTTTTAATTGTGTTTTTTCAGATTTACAGACCAAGTCCAAAAATAACTCCCTAAATAAATGCCCAATGGTGTTTCAAAACAGTTGCACGGCAAGTGTTGGTTGTTGAAATAGTGCAATATCATCTCAGTTTGCTATTTATGGAAGCATGGTTAATAAATGTTCAGCTAGAGCAAATCCAGTAACAGACATTTCACTTTTGCCCACCTGCTTTAGTCAGTGATGGCTGAATGTCTATGGAAAGATGTAGCACATCAATCCTCCTGGTCACACAGCACTGCATTTGAAATCTCTATATCTCTATATTCATATCTCTCCTGTGTTAGGTGTGGATGGATGCTGGCACTCAGATCTTCTTCTCCTATGCCATCTGTCTGGGGTCGCTGACTGCTCTGGGCAGTTACAATAAATATAATAATAACTGCTATAGGTATGTATGCAATGCAGTATCCATGTGCTTATTCAATTACACGCTTACATAGATTAAAGTCATTTCTCAAGATTATTTAAGCCAATAAGTTGCTCATTTTTGACATTTGTTTGTTTTTAGATTTTTTTAGTGCAAGTTGCCCAGTTTTAAATTAAAAGTTAAAATTACATACTTTTGTTGCACTCAAACCAACCAGCCAACCAAAGCATTTGAAAAACTGTGTGAGCCGTTTCACATACAGACTAATTACTTTCTACCGTATACATTTGCCAAACAAAACATTGTACAACTAGCAAACATTACCACTCCATTGAAGTTGGTGCACACTTCCGTCTGCAGTGAAAAAAGTAAGTTCCCATGTGAAACTGATAAATAACTTTCCATGTTATGTGGCATTTTTAAAATCACGTTTTATGTAGGTGGCTAGAAAACAGCCACATACACAACATGCCAAATAGCTCTTTCAAACTATATATGACAATTTAAGATTTGTACATGTATATGTTCAACATCTCCTCCCTCATTCACACATCATCCTTTTCCTCCTCTGCAGTCAGTGCTCTAACAAATAAAAACATGTATAAAATGTATATTTATTCTTGATATTTCCTCAATTACTTATTGTCAGCAGCTTAAACATGTGACCCTGATATCTCCAGACAGCTGACAACGAGCCAGCTAAACAGCAAAAACAGCTAGTTGTAAGCTAACATCATGCCAGCTAATGCTAGACTCCAGCGTCCTCAAAATCGCACTTTCCCTCTGATAAACACTTTGATTAAAGTTTCACATAGTATTTTTAAATTTTATTTTCTATGTTATACAATGTTAGATTCACTTCAAAGAAGGTTTTACTCATGCTGGCTAACAGAGGCTAACAGCAACTCACAGCGGCAAAAACAGCAGCGCTTATTAACGGAAAAGTTCAAGATATCGCCAGCAACTCACCTCACTGTCACTGTCATCGGACAGAAGGGCGCATGGCTGGCTCAAATCATATCACATTCCTTGCACAAAGTTTTACAGCCCCGGACCCTGCCACCAGAATAGATAAGGCAAGTATCATAGCAGACCTCATCAAAAGATTGATATAATAATAAAATAATAAAAATTTTGAGTGAATTTTCCCTTTAAATAGTCTGAAGTTTCTTTTTAAGATTATATTCGAAGTAATTCTTAATATTTAGAAGAAGAAGCAGCTGGGGGTCGCCAAGGTGGGTAGACTCAATTAAAATCACTAACTCAAGCATCATCATCATCATCACCTCTTACTTTATAATTGCCTTTCCGAATCTGATGCTTAACTCCGCAGTAAAAGGACACTTAACATATTGTTGCAGAGACTGCCTGGCGCTGTGCTTTCTGAACAGTGGCACCAGCTTCATGGCAGGCTTTGCGATTTTCTCCATCCTGGGTTTCATGGCTTATGAGCAAAATGTTCCCATTTCAGAAGTGGCAGAATCTGGTGAGGCCTGATATCAAGCAAAATAGCAGTAATCCCATAGTGACACTAATTTGTTTTGATACTTAGGTTGGTTTGTGGTTGTTCAAGTTAAGTTGTTTGTTTTGTCTCTGCACAGGCCCTGGCCTGGCATTCATAGCTTACCCTCGTGCTGCGTCCATGATGCCCTTGTCTCCCTTGTGGGCGGCCCTCTTCTTCATCATGATTGTTTTTCTAGGGCTGGACAGTCAGGTACAAAGCTATGCACCATTTTCAGATAACACGCTCCACCACTTTGATGGTTTTTCTTGATTGCTTTAGTGATGATCGCATTCCTATTAATGACTTTTCCCCTCTCCTACATCAGTTTGTGTGCGTGGAGAGCCTTGTGACGGCCATCGTCGACATGTACCCAGCCGTGTTCCGTCGAAAGTACCGCCGGGAGCTCTTCCTGTTAGGCGTGGTCCTGGTCTCCTTCCTCATGGGCCTCGTCATGCTTATGGAGGTAGGTGTCACATTCTGGGACTATAAACACACAGATTCACACAGCCAAAGATCAACAAGTACAGAAGTAAAATTGGCCTGTAGTGTGTAGTAAATGATTTCATACGAGTGTCTTAAAATTATTCATTTTTTTTAAAAGCTGTGGTGTCATCCCTTGTTTCCTAACAGGAATGAATGCCTTTAGCAGCAGTTTGCTTGATCATGTGACGTTAAAGCTGTTGTCTCTCAACACATACTCTTAACAAATTGGGCAGTTGCTGGGGTGGAGGGATTGGGGCTGGTGGTGGGATGCTTTGTTCTGATTAAATAAACTCTTACTAGAATCCAACGTAGTTGACGTGGTTTCACCTCTGCACAGCTGGAAGCATGAATGCTCTGTAGAGGTGTCAACAAGTCCTCAGTTTGTAAGTACAAGCGCGTCAATGGTTTTGTGCGACCCTTCTCAGGTAAGTGACAAGCATTGTTATGCAATGCTCCCGATTTTAGGATGAGGGCTGAAATAGTCAACTTTTGGGCTTCAAGGTTCCAGGCTCTTTGTATAATAACAGCACTATACTATATAACAGTATTTTACTGTACAGTTTTCAAGCTACCATTCATTTTTAGATAAAGGAGACCTATTATGCTCATTTCCAGGTCTCTGTTTTTATTTTTGGATCTTATTAGAATAGTTTTGCAATAAGCCATCCTAACCTTAAACCCTTTAAACCAGCTTTCTTCTGATTGGCTGCCCCTTGTAAAATGACAAAAACAAAGGGGTTCTGCAGGTGTGTGCAGCAAAAGCTATGTGTCTAAGATTACCATATTAGGGATATCTCCTTTCAGTGACATCATACGGAGCCAAGAGTAGAAAAAACTGTCTAAAACTGTAAGCTATATTTGTATGATTATACCTCTTTGGTTTGTATCTGTTTAGGGGGGCATGTATGTCTTTCAGCTCTTTGATTACTACGCAGCCAGCGGCATGTGTCTTCTCTTCATGTCCATCTTTGAGACAGTTTGCATTGCGTGGGTTTACGGTAAGCAAACAGAACTGCATGTAAGATTACAGCACAAGCTTTGACGAGTAATTCTGAGTGTTCACCCAAGTTACTGGCAGAAACCCAGCTGGGAGTTTTACACTGTGTCACGATGAGATGTGTCTAAATCGTGTTTTTCCAGGCGCTGATCGCTTTTATGATAACATTGAGGATATGATTGGTTACCGGCCAGGACCGTATATCAAGTGCTGTTGGTTGTTCTTCTCCCCTGCCACGTGCATTGTGAGTCTCAGTAAAGTAGATAAACTTCCAAAAATGACAATAAATGTTCTATTAGTGGAAAAAAAAAAAGAGGAAATAAAGCAGGTTGATCCTCACTAGTTGCCGTACCCTGTTACCTTGTCTCTGCAGGGCACCTTTGCATTCTCCCTCATTAAATACACTCCTCTGAAGTATAACAATGAGTATGTGTACCCGTGGTGGGGATATGTGATCGGCTGGCTGCTTGCTCTCTCCTCCATGGTCTGCATTCCACTTTGGATGGTGTATAAGATCAGCACCACCCAGGGGACACTCAGAGAGGTATGCTGATCATCCTGTCAGAGGAAAACATTTGTGCCCAACTGACGTGCTCCTGATTTTAATCTTTGTTTGCTCGTTCACAGCGCATCCAGTTGCTCATCAGACCATCTGACGACTTACCTAAAACCAAGAGGGAGCAGGAGAGGTTACTGGCTATCTTTGCTCCAGAGGTAGACACCACCAAGACTACAAATGGCTACTTCCCCGTCTCTGAGGCGGACTCCAACTTGTGAGGCTTCAGTGATATGTGGGATCCACTTACTTTAATACATAACATACACGGTGGACTCAGGCGAAAGTAGTGGGTTGACGATTTTTGAGTGATAAATTAAGGCAGAAGAAATTAAAAAAGTATCCTGACATTTGAATTAAGAATTTTCAGAGTGGAAAGGAGTGTTTTTCAGGGACAAAAGTAATTTAGACAAACTTGTTCTTGAGTCTGTGAATCCATCGGTAAAGTTTATAAGTAACCCAAGAAAAGCAAAGTCACGGGAGGAACAGGTGAATCATTGGATGTTCACACCTAACACTTAGAGAGCAACTTCTTAATGCTCCTTTATGTATCCGACAACACTGCATGGCTGTTTTGTCATATTTGTATCATATTGTTATGTTGTGATAAATAACTGCAGAGGTTTTCCTTTTGTATTTAGGGAAAATTAGATTATGCTTAACAGTAGACATAATTGGATGCAGAATAAATACATGGAAATGCAGAATACTGATATGGACTAATATGGCATATTAACTGTAGTTTCATTTTTTGTACTGTAACGTATAATGACTGTACAAAGAAACGTTACTGTTGTAAGTGTGGATTAAAAAATCTTTGTATGTTGTCCTGAACCATTTTGCCTTTGCTCTCCGAAGGGGAACTTCCTAAGTCTGAAAAAATAATCCAAATTCGGGGACTTGGATGTTAAGCATGGCAGCTTTAAAGGGAAGGGGGGGGGGGAGTCGCATAGAGCCTTTTTCATAGCAGCCATTGTTCTTTTCTGCTTAGGCACAGACCTTTAACTAATGTGATCAGTAACGCCTGTGTTTACCTGCTATTTAAATGGAAACTCTGGTGGATTAAACACACTATTATGTTACTCAGGTTTACACCTATGGCACCTCATTCCTTGTGTACACTGGCTTGTAATACAACTGGATTTAAAACAGGTTGGTGCTTGTAGGTGAACACTTGTGACAATTGCACTAAAGGAGAGCAAACTCCTACTTCAAAGCTCACTTAAATGCTTGCTTGGTTCATTTCTCTAAAACATGTTGTTCAAGTTGGAACCTGCAGCAAAACACCACTTTGTCAGGTTTGAACCACAGACTGTATGTAAACGTAGGATGTAGTTAAAGCTGAAAAAGTGAAGCCGCTGAAAAAGTGAAGCCACTGTGAAAGTGCCTTACAGCTACACTGGTTTTCATAGCTAGCAAGAGGAAGCAATAGTCACTGCTGAATACAACACGTAGTTCATTTTGAAAATTACGCTATTTTCAATTATGCTGTATAATAAGTTTTCAGTGTCTGTTGTCTGGTTTAACAAAACTTGATGGTTATGAGTTGAGTAACACCAAAGGTACATTCCAATCCAAACACTTGTGTACAATCTTTATATTAGAAAATGAATAAATACAAATGAATACATTTGACTGATACAAAGGGGCATGTCACATGTGCATGTTGGGTTTTGAGAGTCTTCAACTTTAACTTTTTACAAATCCACAAATGCATGCAGCTTTCAAGTGCTAGTGGAAAACTGGAGCATCTGGGCTTCCTGTGTCTTTTGAACATGCCCCTGCTGCTACAAATGTAATTTTAAAAAAGAAAAATCAGTCCATAACTATCAAAAGTCTCCAATTTTATGAAAATGGAGAACAAATCACGAACAAATCACATCAGGATTTTACTGATATGTTTTGGGTTTTTTCATACAGTCATGTTCTATAAAGTGATAAAGTATAACATCTGTGGACTTTGCAAGAGCTTAGCTTGTATAACGTATTTTATTAAAGGTACCTGTTTAGTTTCAGTTACTTTCCAGAGTTGGATTAATGATGTTAACTAAAGTGCGATTTTAAAAAAACAAAAAAAAAAAAAAAGAAAAAAAAAAAAAAACCTACTACAAAATATTATATAATATATACTTTATTTTATAGTCCTTTGCAGGAAATTATTGCTATGGCAGTTAAACACAGGCATAACATGGCACAGCCCAGCAAAACCATATCAATTCATAATAAAAATGAAAAATATATAAACAAATAAAATGGCTATGTGCAAATATGCAAACATGTGGATACAATCATATTATTTTTATTATTGTACGTTGAACAGTCTTATAGCCGCTAGTATAAAGGACCCCCTGAGGTACTGAGACTTGCACTTTGGCTCAGTCAGTCTTTTGCTGAAGGTGAAACTGTTCATAGCAGCCAGCGATGATTACTCATTTCTTCAATCTTCAAGTGATTTAAAGAATATGAGCTTTCAGTATTCATTCAGATTTTTCTTTTGTCATTTGTCAGCTTTCCTAATGTACATTTTAAAGATATTCAACTACTTTCCAGCTTTGAAAACTCAAATCACTGAGCTTTCAGCATTCAGACCACATTTTCTTCAGGAACTTCATTCACTTGTTAATTGTTTTCCTTTTCCGGGTGTATGATATGTTATAGTGTGAGGTAACTGGCAGTTTATAAAACTCTGCTTTCACAGTACTTTTCCCCAAATTGCAATATTATAAATGGTTCAACTTTCAGATTCTTTATATTGGCCTCTTTGGTGATTTTCTCTTTTACAGTGTTCACGGAGGGTTAAAAAGTGTCACTTGTATTGTTTCCCCTCATCTTTATTTTTAAAGGCACAGTTTCTTTCTCAGCTGTAAGCCCGTGCATCCACAATGATGGAGCACTTTTGAAACATTTTCTAGAATAATTTTGCCACTGGGTGTCACGCTGCCACGGTGATGATTGGCTGCAGCAGCGGCGTCGCTCTCTACGTGCCTCTATGACGCGCCGCTTTTTTTCCCACCATGCACCGGGGAATGTCTAAGGAAAGATGGCGGAAGGAGGAGCGGCTGATCTGGATACCCAAAGAGGAGAGGTCGCGACACTGTTGAAAACACAACTAAGAAAGGGAGACACTTGGTAAGAATTGACTGTGATCTTTTCAAGGGCACTGCGTGGCTCTGGGCTGGGTCTGCTGAGCCTGTCAACCCCACGGAGGATGTGAAAGCAAAACGGCCGGGCCGTGTTGACAGTGAGCTCCGAGCTAGCTAACGGCTGCCTGTCAGCTTCATGTGTCAGCTTGGCAGGCTAGCGCTGGTTGAGCTCTCGCTAAGACTTAAAACAGTTAAACTAAATTTATATGCTGTATTTTGGTGTTTATATCCTTCACTTCCAAAAAACTGTGTCACATATTTTCTGTGGATGTGTAAGGAAGGGTACATGCCGTTTGAGTGATACAGATAGTTATCAGGCTATCAGCTAATTGGCTAGCTTGCCGATGATCCAAGCGGTTTGCCTGTCAGTGGGTTCATCCCCCGACTTCAGCAGGGCGGAGTCGGAAAAAAAACACCTGTCAAAATCACAGAGCCAGCTGGCTAGGCTTGTAGCAATCTGAACTCAACACGGCGGCTAAAAGCTACTGTTACAACTGTCAGTCTGTGTAATGTATGCCTCCCAAAACCAGATTTGTTTCGGGTACTCACCACAAGGTAGCCCCAAGGTAACCTGGTTTATAGCCCAATAGTTTAATGCACCCCACCCCACCATCCCTTTTATATAACTCTTGACTTTCACATCTTGCTTTTAGTAGAGATGTTGTAATCTTGATTGCTTTCTCTGCAGGTACCTAGTGGACAGTCACTGGTTCAAACAGTGGAAGAAATATGTGGGATTTGACAGCTGGGACAAATACCAGATGGGAGACCAGAATGTCTACCCAGGACCGGTTGATAACTCTGGTCTTCTCAAAGGTAAGTCAAGTAATAGTCCATCTCTTAGTCCTCACTAAGACCAAAAAAGTGGACCACATCAGTCCAGCTCTGAGGTCTTTACACTGGCTGCCTGTACGTCAGAGGATAGACTTTAAAGTCCTGATGCTGGCCTATAAAGCTCTGAATGGTTTAGGACCAAAATACATCAGTGACCTCCTGACCCAGTATGAACCTTCCAGATCCCTCAGGTCATCTGGATCCGGTCTTTTATCAGTTCCCAGAGTCAGAACCAGACACGGAGAAGCTGCATTCAGCTTTTATGCTCCTTATATCTGGAACAAACTCCCAGAAAGCCTCAGATCAGCTGAAACACTCAGTTTATTTAAATCCAGGTTGAAGACTCACCTGTTCTCAGCTGCATTTGAATAAAGCACCAAATCCACACTTTTAAGCTTAAATTTCAAAACTTACATTTAACTACTGATTTTATCTACTGTTCTGATTTTATCTGTTTTGATTTTATATACTGTTGTTTGTTTGTTTGTTTGTTTGTTTGTTTGTTTGTTAATTAGTTAGTTAGTTAGTTTGCTTGTTTTAATCAATTTTAAATCATGCTTTTTATTTGTTCTTGTTTCTAATGTCTCTGTAAAGCACTTTGAATCACCTTGTTGTTGAATTGTGCTATACAAATAAACTTGCCTTGCCTTGCCTCTTTATATCTCTATTTTATCCATTCTAAAAGTATATGATAAATGTATGGGAAAGCAGTTTTTGGTAGGTTAGCTTCGTGGGCAAGTGACATACACGCACACAAAAACATTGTCTACTAACCAGAGAGTAGCCTTTCTTTGGAGGGGGGTCATAGAAAACTCTCCAGCTCACCTTGTTCTTTGTGTGTTATCAATAGTGTAAGTGTTGACCCACAGAATGTGCTTGTTTAACTGCACGTGTATGACCCTCCCTCCCTCTAGATGGGGATGTGCTCGCCATCAAGGAACACCTCATTGATGAGCTTGACTACATTCTGGTCCCAACAGAAGGCTGGAATAAACTCGTCAGCTGGTATGGACTCACAGAGGGTCAGGAGCCAATCGCGCGCAAGGTAAGGGTTCAGTTATTAGCATAAGATTATGAATGGATTTTTTAACATTTGTTCTGCTGCCAGCTCAGATTGTTTTCTCATATACAGAATCAGAAGGTTTAATGTGCAGTGTGACTTGTGTTGGGGTAAAAGGGAGAACATTGTGCTAATAAGGCTGTTTGGGGAAAATCAGACATGCAGCACTTTTGGAAAAGGAACTTTGAACTTGTGTCACTGTTGCTGAACAGTGAATAGTATATGACTATAATGACAGATATTTAACAAAAAGAACTGCAAAGAATAGTTAACCATTACATTCATTTTTGATGTAATTTGGTTGGTCAGGTAGATTTACACAGATTTACTCTGTGTACTCTACACATAATCTCAGAAGTAATAGTGAAAGACTGGGTGTTTACTTATCACAAAGAAAAAAAAACAGTTGCCTTTCATTCATTTCTTTTATGAATGAAACGCAGTATGTGTGCTTATTTTTTCCATATTAGCATAAGAGTATGTAAGGTTTGCTGGAGGAAAAAAAATGAAGAATGCTTATATGTTTGTGATTACAGTTGAATACTTGTGTGTGATGGCACTTTTGCTATCAAAGCAACTCTTCAAATCTCGCTAGTCATGGCATCATGGCTGCTGGAAGCACTTCCTCTTCCCTCTCCATATCTATCAGTCTGTCTCTTGTCTTCCCCCCCCTACATTGACCCTCCTCTTTTGCCATGTATGTCATGTGGCGTATCGGGTAGCTGCAAGGTTTCTATTTTCAGGCAATGTTCTGGATGACTGAAAAGCTACATGGAGCGATCTGCGAGACACAACATGAAGGAGGTTTTCTTCTTCTTTTTACCCTGTTGTTTCTATATTGTCAACTTGAGGGTGGGGATTATGCTGGGGGGAACTGTAGGATTGTAGTCATTGGTGTGACACTGTGGCTCCTTCCGCTTTCCACTTGTGGTTTGATTGCCAACAATGGTGGAGAGCTCCTGCGTCCTTGTTTTCCAAGCGGAGGAATGCCAGCTGAGGTCACACTAAGAGAAGCAGCGCGTAAGCTTTTCAAAGGAGTGCGAGGAGAGGCGAACCAGTATAGGAGAAGCGGCGTGGGTGGCCTAAATGGTTTTGGCTCGGCTTTGATTTGAGAAAATGTGTCAGAGCTTGGTGGTGAGTTGGACGTTGACTGAGCTCACAGATGGGTTGTGCGCTGAGGTGTACTAGCCCACCGAGAGCCTTGAGTAGGGGAGGGTTGTGGTGCTGAGAGAGTCTAAGCTGTGTGTGAAGGACTTTTGCAGTTTAGTAGCGTGAGTGTCTGTGTGCTGGAGGGGCTCAGGGGTGAAATAAATAGGCTGGGACCCCTCAGCTGTTTCCACGAGGTGCTGCTAATTTAGGCACTTCACTCTGACTGTGAAGTATCAGGACTCCAGATGAGTAGAGACCAGCGCAGCAGAACTTAGTGTGCTTTGTTATCCATTTTGTTAAGCATTTTCTAGCACGTTAAACTTAGGAGTTTGCTTTCAGTCTAGCAGGAATTTGATAAACATGAGATAAGGGTTGCATCATGATTATTTTTGCCAGCTTGGTGTCACGGTTTCTTTTTGGGTGCCTAAACTTCTGTCAAAGGTAAGCTCAGCCATGATAACAATTGGACAAACATCATACAGTCAAAGGCTTCTGCTGGCATGACTGAGCCAAGCTTGCATCTATGTTGGAATCTTAAACATTTAGTTTTTCATGTTTTACTTCTGTCTGTTCAGCCTGACTTGTTACTGTTGTCTGTGGTGTAATGTAGTGCTACATTCCTGTTGGCTGATTAGTGGACGGTCAGATTGTGCGATTTTTACACAGTTAAATTTTATGTTCCGTTGTAAGTGCAAACATTAGACTTCTCTAAGGCAATCATTTCTGAGTTATCTACACGGTTCTTTTACATTGATCTTTTTGTGTGGGACAGCCCAAAACCATACAGGGTTACTCATGAATTAGGCCCGTGTCCCTCATTCTTTGCGTAGTAATTTAACATTAGATAATCATGGTTTAAAGCAGTAAATTGATAATCATCCTCTTTTTGCAGGTGGTTGAACAGGGTATGTTTGTGAAGCACTGCAAGGTAGAAGTGTACCTGACCGAGCTGAAGCTCTGTGAAGACAGCAATATGGACAATGTGATCACCAAACGCTTCAGTAAAGCTGACACAATAGGTAGGCACTGCCTAAACAGTAGTAAGCACTGGTTTCCGCAGAGTTCCAGAGTTCCTTGGATCTCAGTTCACATTTCACACTAATTATATATAAATACATTTACTGTTTATGGTATTTGTGTTTAAATTAATTGTTTTTCCAACTATTGTTGCCACATGATGATTTATTTCCTCTTTTTGCTGCGGGGGAAACAAAGAAATCTTGTACATAAGACTAAGTGTTTTTTTGTTTTGTTGTTGTTTGTTTTTTGTAAGTATTATGCAGTTGTGACACAACAGATACACGCTAGTAAATGCCATATTGTTTGCCAGTGTATGGATACTAGCTATTGTATCCTTGCATTGAAACATGAAGTAAAAACTGTTGTTTTGTTTCTGTTGTTGTTTATAATTCAGCAGGCTGTGCCCCCCAGCCAGAGCTAAAGAAAATAAAATGGAAATGGAATAAATTTTGTGTTTTCAAAATTATTTACTCAAGCGTGATTGACATTTTTGTTTATCGAGTTAGATAACAGTAAAGTGCGAAGATTAGAAATACAGAATTGTGTTTATGTGCATGGTCACCCCACTAATTCTCATTCTGAGCCAGGAAAACATTCTTGGAAGCACAAATGATATACAACATAGATCTAAATATACCCTTGGGATTTCAGATATTAGAATCACCTCCTGCGTGCATTCAAACACATGAACTTAACACTCTGCTCATGTTGTTTTTGAATAACTGTGTCCAAGTAAATATTTACTTTATTCTATTGATGTAGATGATGGAGTTGTGTTTTTTTTGTTTTTTTTTTTTTTTTGTATGGTTGTTTTATTTCACATTTTGTTTGTGCACGAGTGTCATGCCTTTTTTAAATTTTTTTTATTTTTTATTTTTAAACGGCACAGTGTTAACTGCATCTTTTTGCTAATGTGTTTGTAGATATGATTGAGAAGGAAATGAGGAAGCTGTTCAGCATCCCTGATGAGAAGGAGACCAGGCTGTGGAACAGGTACATGAGCAACACCTTTGAGCCTCTCAACAAACCTGACAGCACCATCCAAGATGCCGGCCTCTACCAAGGACAGGTTTGAACTTTTCCACTCTTCTCTCAAATTCTCACTATGTGAGAAGAATTTGGATCTGGAGGGTTCCTTTTTTTCAAGAGAGGCAAGATATTTCAGAAAATTGTCAGATGTGTAAGAATATGGCTTGCTCTATAGACCGTCATTCCTGAGCTCAGGAAAAGATGTTTTAGTTCTAGTTTCCGTTGGATATGGTTTCCCTCGTATTGTTTGGCAGATACGAGTACTTTTTCAGGTCATATCAGAAAACTTGTCTTTTCTTGATCTACTTGGAATCTGCATCCAAGAGGTTATTTTTGTTGATCCATCCATTCTTTTTGTCTCTGCTCCTCCTCTCTAAAATTAAAATAAACAGCTATTGCAGATAATGGAAAACCACAAGATTGTGTTGTTTAGCCTTTTTCTAGCTGTTGCAAGAAAAAGGCCTGTAAGTTAGAACACTTGAACTCCTGAAATTAAGATTCAACTTTAAAGACCTTATAGTAAAGCTAGTTTGAGGCCGGCTCATGAACTAGAGTTTTCGCACATAGAACCTGACATCAAACTGACTGCGGACTTTACATATTTATTAATTTAAACATGTGGCTGCAGTGACTCAGCAGGCTCCACATCACTGGGTTGTCCCACTTACCTGCTGCTGCTACAATCACGTTAACCCAGTAATGGTATTCAGTGTTTCCCACTGATAGGCAGGACTTGGAGAGGCTGAACGGGTAGAATAAGAGTATGCTTGGAGACTCAAGTATTTCACAGTTTTTATATAAGAGTGATGTTATCTGCAGTCATGTCACCAGTTATTTTGAAAGCTCTGTCTACCAAGTCAATTCCTTCAAGTCTTTTCTACCATGTCCCTTCAGTGTGGTGGACCATTCTGCCCACTCTGAAGAATCTAGTGTGCTGGGTGGCCAGATGCCCTCCAGTCCCCTTGTCCTGGATTGAATCTGGTAACAGCAGTCACTGTTCTGCTGTTTTTGAAAGCCTCTTTAATTAAAACCTGCACCAAGTGAAGAACTGCTTTATTTGTTGCTACAGTAAACTCATCAACGCTGCAGAACAAAACAAGGACCTCCGTTGACAACTTGGGTCATGACGCCAGAGTTGGAAGTCCGTCTGTGGGACAAACCTGGTGACATTTCTCTACATATTTAGAGGCACCTTGTCTACAATATCTTTTACTTTTTTCTAAAGTGTGGGTGTGCCTTCTTCTGCATAGTCATGACCTTACACACCAGTACTCCACCCTGCTGCCACAAATGGTTTCTAAAGCTGTCACATATAAAATATAATAGCTACTTTCAGCCAATGCTTTGTCACAAGGATTCACCACAGGGGTAGCTCCACGTATTCCATTGGGGAGAATTTTATGGTAAATGGCCTGCATTTGTATAGCGCTTTTCTAGTCCCTAAGGACTAGGGCTGCCACGATTAGTCGACTAGTCACGATTATATTGAACCCAGCATTTCATGAACACTGATGGAAACCTTTGCTTTGTGTAATGTTAGAAGTACTCAGATAATCCTCAGAGGGTCTGGACTTTTACATAATATGCTTTAAGTCCTGTAGAAAGTTAAATATATGTTGTGCTCTCTGGTTACTCTGGTATGAATGACTCTGAATTACTTTATGATAAATAACACACTATTGTCAAAAAACAGTGAAAGAATTCCAGATCACAAGTTTTTAGTTCAAATACAAGTAACAACCTTTGACTTTAATCAGGTTTTATTTAATTGTGTCAGAGAAAACATCATGTGCTCTTCATGTAGCTGAGTACATTCAGTGTTTAAAACAGAAGTTGTGCAGGTCTGAGATCAGCAGTTTTCTGAAACACCAAACTGAGGTACTGTTAATGCTGATGTATAGTGACACAGTTACAGGGGTGATTAATCCTTTTGACTTTTTGTCTTTAAATTTATCAATAAAACAGCTGCAGCTTTCACTGACAGCACATGTGGTACTTTAACCTTTGTACTGTTTTCTTCAGTTAATTTTGGAGTTACTACAAAGATTGAAGATATAGGATGATCTGTCTGCTGTCACTGGGTGGTGCTGAGGTCTGAATCTGAGGACA